AATAAAATATGTATTCGTTTTCTGTGTCCCTTCAGGATGTTGACTATCATGGCCATCTAAAATTTCTTGTTCTTTGTAGGTCGTAATATATTTTTTTTTTACTTTTTGTTATCTCTCCTAAACCTTGTTCCGCCATTCATTTACTCAAACTCGCTTGATAAGCTATGGGTTGTTGTTTTTTCTGACCTTTTGCCCTTCAATCGGTTCTGTCAGTATCAAATTTTCTAAAACTTCTTTCCTCATTAGGTGTTTTAGAGAGTTCAGTTGTTTCTTTCTGATGTCAAATATAAGTGTTCTTTTGATTTCCATTTTCTCGAAAACTTTTCTCACATGTTCAGTCTATGACATTCTAACCAACATTGTGTAGAATCACATTTATGTTGCTTCAAGTCTCGTCTTCCTTTTCCAGGAGATTGTCCAGTATTCTTTGACATATAGGAGAACTAATATTACGTAACAGTTCAGTGTTGTTTTCCTTGTTTCTAACGACATTTTCCTGCCTATTAATATTTTGTGTAGCTTTTGGGCATATTACTGTCCTTGAAGTCTGTTATTGTCGTCTGAACATTATGTTAGCATGTCATTTCTGTTGAGAAACCGACAATAATTTGACATTTTGCACGCTTTGCTGTTAACGATCAAATAATCACGTTAAGAGGCATGTAAAATATAGCAGATTAGCTATTTACAGATTCTTCATAAGATAGTATACATCGCGTATCACTTGTTATGTGCTTCTTAATGACCAGCCAATAAACACTTTTCTGTACAGAGGACATAATTGGGGTAGACACAGCGAGACGAATATGCTTCCTTGGGTTAAAATCTCCATAATCTTGGACGTTTTAGACTTGTGAATAAAGGCAGTCTTTGTATTATTCATCAGATTTCCATTTCGGGATCGGAGAGAAGGCCTGGGATATATTTCAACACTCTGTTAGGTTGTTTTCTTTTTTGACAATAAAACCTTCATTTATATTATTTCAAATTTTCCTGGACCTCTTTATTTTTATTTGGGTAACTGTATGACACATACAACTGAGATAGTTCATATATTGCTGGTAAACCCAACCCAACGCTACAAAACAATGTCGACGGGTTATCTTAAATATTAGACACTTAGACGATGAAACTACGAAGTTATCCTCACACACGAGTCACGATGAATTTAACATTGTAGAAATTGAACAAATACAATATTTTCCATGATTATCCCGAAAGCAACAAGTCATTTATTACATATGATTATTGTTTACTGTAATATAATTGCAAGGCAATTCTTACTTTTATTGCTTAGTTTTTTAGCGACATAAAAAATTGACTCAACAAAAAATGGTGCCTATACCACTTAAAATTAAATTTTTTATAGTGCATTCCTATTTAATATATATACAGGTTTGGTTACTGAATGTTTTGAACAGAGAGTCGGGACAAGGACTGTTCTATTCATGGTTAGAATGTTGTTAAAATGAATTACAGAATTTTTTGCACAAGGTTTTGATACAAGAACTGCCATATTGACAATGTGGATGCTGTTAAAATGAACTACAGACATTTTTGCACAAGATGTGGGGGCAAGAACTGCTATACTGATGTTTAGAATTCTGTTGAAACGAAATAATTTTTTGTTGTTATTTTTCTTCTTCGTTACCCACATATTCTGTCCATTGTATTCTTAAATTTTATCTATAGAACTACATCTCCTTTGTTCAAGTATTTTCTTTATATGTCAGGAAATATTCCGATATTTCTTGCCATATTAAGAGACTGTGCATAGCATTTTGGCAATGCATATAATCACTATTTCCTGATTATTAATGTTTGTAGACCAAATTTGAAATTTATATGCACCTTCGAATTTTTGTGTCATTTAATTGACGTCTGTTGCTACACTATTCTCCCCTTGCTGTATCTTTTGGTGACAACATTCCATTTTTTCTTCTTATAGTTAAATTATCTCTTTTAGCTTTTCATATTAACTCTGTAATTTTTTAGCTTTCTTTTGAACTATGCCATCAAAGCAGTGTCATCTGCGGATTTTTTGTTAAGATTGTCCGTCGATTTAAAAACATGTAGTAGGTTTCCAACATTTTAGGACTGTCTCGCCGTATAATTTCTCTTGATATTTCCCTTTTAGTAAACTGAGACAAGTTTTCAAATGTTAATTGTATTTTTCAGCAGTGTATATATATTTTGAGGCATAGTTTTGATGCATTTAAAGGAAGATTAGTTTTCAATGAGATGAAAAGTTTTCTTTTCTATTTGTAAAGTTATCAAAGTGACAGCTCCTTCGTATTAATCACTTGTTCCCTGTCATCTTTGTTTATTTGATTCCATTCTCTTAAAATATCAACAAAGCTTTTCTACACATTTAAGTTTCTGAACCCAATCACGGCGACAAGTGAAAGTAAGAGCGGCCCAAAGTGATATTAATGATTTATTCGCATTGATACCGTATTAGAATAAAGTTAATCTTTATATCAAATAAAAGAATCGCACACAACGTCCTGTCTCTAAACAGTCGACCAGTGTGAACATAAAACGGATAAAAGCAGCACATGGGAAGTCGAGGGAATATTATATTCCGTTCGGAACTTTACTAGATACACTGGACAGTTTTATGTGCTGCATCTGGGGAAATGATTCGTTAACCGCTTAAAAGGCGAGAACAATTTTCCTAATTTTCTAAAGACAATTTCTGATTTCGGTAAAGTATAACATAAAACCAGGAATAAATAGTGGGTCTAAAGGAGAGGCGAAAGTAATTGAACAAAACAACAACGTAAAATGAAATTCAAACAGAATATCTACAATTTTGATCCTAATACACAACACTTTGTTCAAAAACTCGAAAAATGCAATAAAATAAAAAATTAAACTGGTAGGTCTGATCTTGTATATTCTTTTTAATCACACACACACTCACATATATATATATATATGATCAAAATATATCAGGACTGTTGCTATGGTAGCGGAGCTTAGGTACGCGAAGTGAGCCGCTTGGTAGAGACTAACTTTAAAATCTGCCGTGCATGCATTCTAAGCTATAATATTCTCGCTAGTAGTTTATAGTAGTGTTTGGAAGGAAAGTGTGTAGAATGTGATTGTCTCTCCCCAGCGCAAAATTTCTATGAGTGAACATGGCTTCTGCAGCATTTTTTTTTTTTTTGTTGAAGGACAACATTCTTCAGGTTTGACAACCACTGTATTCTCAAGATCTCGCCACATGTAATTTTTTACTCTTTCCAAAAATAAAATCCCACTTCAAAAAGAACAAAATTTTAAGACATCTTGAAATCCAAGAGAATGCGACAATACCGTTCTCCCATAAAAAAAAGAGTTCCAGGAATGTTTCCATCAGTAGAGACTATTTTCTTTCTATAGCACCAGTCTTCATACTTTGGTAAGAACGTATATATATATATATATATATATATATATATATATATATATATATATATATATATATATATATATATATATAATGTAAAAAAGTTTTCGTATGACCTGTGTCGTTCTTTAAGACTAGATTTATGTTGAAGCGACTACAATATAATTCTTTGTATGCTTTGAGCATATAATCTAGTCGATTTCGTTGAGATTTTTTTTATTTTTGTTTCCATCACATTTATTATAAAATATCCCACATTGAACATCTGCCAAGTTAAAAGTTGTAAGAATCACGACGCAAATTTGCTATGGATGATCTAACGATTAAAGCACGTTCTAAACAATTTCCTCTTAGTAAATTGCTCTCGCTTTTAATTAAAGTAGCAAATTTTAAATCAAAATTACAGTCCGTCTTATTACAGAGAGTAACTAATGCATTTAACGTGTTTTCTAAAATATATCGTTTGTATTCATATAAACGTTTATTTAAATTCCATGAGGTTTCTACTATGCCCATATTTTTGACAATTATTACAGGTAATAGAATAAATTCATCCTTCAAGTTTTAGCCTATTTGTTTTGTATTAAGTCTTTTATTGTTTTAGACGTGGTTGGGACAAATTTTATGTTGTTTTTAGATGAATTCTTTTCAGTTGTAGTTGTGACAGTGTAAGTGGTTAGAACAATATATTTTTGAATTCGTTGGGTTTGTCAGGAAGGGCTGTTCTTTTATTTTGGAATAATGTATGAGCCTTTTGACTCCCAGTGAATATGAAATAAGGTACTGGGGTCGCTTGAAAGTATTTTCTCCTCTTCATGTAAATACTGAGGACTACAAATTCTGAATGCTCTTAAGTAGAAGCTGTTAATTATTCCAAATTTTATTTTATTGTTATAGAAATAGAAATTCATGAGATCATTTTAGTTGGTTGATTTTCGGTGGACACTAAAATTATTTCTCTTTTTGTTTCCATCTTTTTTTATTATTACATATCCCACATTGTGATCAGAGAAAACCTACAAGGAACGATGAAGCGTAAGAACCTGGATGCAAATTTACCATGGATCATCTAGCGATTTAAGCACTTTCTAAACATTTTAGTCTTAGTGAATTGCTTTTTTTCTTTTAATCAAAGTAGCATTTTTATATCTCGGAAAGCGAAAGTTAGAGCAGAAAAGATAGAAAAAAGCAAAATAATTATTACCAAATGTTGAAATTTTAAATTATAATAGATGGAAAAAATAATCTCTGACAAGCAATTTCTCGTATTTTGATTTTGTTAGCTATTTCACAACAGGCATCTGTTTTTGGAACTCGATTTAAAATTCTGGGCAAGCAATCCGACCCTATCTCCATTACCTAAGCTGAGTAAATACTGAATTCTTGTGAGAAAGTAACTGACAGGAAACTGATGGGATGACAAGAAATGGGCAAATTTAGGGAAACAGTAAATCATAGAAGAAATCAGTAAAGAGAATTTGAAGACAATATAATGAAAGAGATGATAAATGAAGAAAAATGGCGACTGTACAAGGGAAAAAGAAATGGAAATAAATTAAGAAAAATAGCGAGAAAAATAACGAAACAAAAGTCGAAAGAAGAATGACTAAAAGGAAAGAAAAAAAGAGATAAAAGATCTGAAAAAAAGACAGATGGAGAGTTGAGGAGTGTTCGTAAAAGAATTACTAAAAAGAACAAAAAACATGAAAAAGGGGATTTTACAAAGAAAGGAATAGGTGGGAAGAAATGAAAAATTGAAAGAAGCAGTTAAAAAAGGTAGAATGAAAACATAAAGGGGACAAGGAAAAAAAGAAGAATAAAGAAATAAATGAAAGTAGCAGAGGTGATAAAGAAAAGAATACTGGAAAAAAAGAAATAGCGAGAGAAAAATAAATGAATGGGGCCTAAATAGAATAAATATAAAAATGCAAAGAACGAGAAGGCTAGAATGAACGACTATACGATCGGTTCGTTTGAGAGGACTTGGCTCGGGATTTCCTGGTGGACATGACATGTGAATTGAGAAGCAAAAGACATTTCTCATTGTAGAGAGACTTGTCGCTGATGCCTCCTGTATGGACATTTTAATAGAGAAGCAGCCGCCATGTCAAATCTTAGTTGCGTAAGTAAATTGACAAAATGCGAAACGCCGACTGAAGTGATGAGTAGAATAAAGATGACTGGACGCCGGGGGTCGAAAAGGATTTCAATTTATTTCTTTTCTTGCCATCGCTGAACAAAGAAAAATGGCGTCAGTGAGAAAATGAGGCAAGGCAACTTGATGGAAAACCTAAAAAGAAAAATCTGGAAAATATTGGAAAACTTGGTACCAGAAGAAGTCGTAATAGCTTTAGAGATACAGGTATTTAGCATTGGAATAGTATTAGTCCGCTATAACATGGCTGTTTCAGTGGTTGGTATCTATATATGCATGATAGGTTTGATTGAACAGAATTATGAGGGAGCCAGTAGCAATATCGAAGGAAGGGTGTGGGGGAGAACGATCAATTTATCAAATTACAAAATATGTAATGAAGTGGGTGCACATAGAAAATAAGACAAGATTTGAATCTTTCATTACTTAACTTTAAATTTCATTCAACTTTTGAAATCGTCAATTTCTCTTGACTAGTGTGTTGGTGCGGTCCACAGAGCTTATTTCGGAAGCCAGGATCCTACATCCGCTTAACTCCTTCCTATCAGGTAGTTGTTTATCTGTTCAATATTTTCCTTCCCATGCTTTCAAAACAGGAGACAAGTGTAAAGTAACGTGCTTAACCATTCGAAGGGCTGGAGTGAACAGGTGAACACGGCTTCTTTGATGGTCGGTTTGAATTGCATGAAATATTAGTTCCGGCATTATACTGCATATCTGTATATGCTTACTACTTTTGATCGAGCGCAATTATAAGATAGCCATTGTTAAATATCGAAACATCGTGCAAAAAAAAACACAGCCAATTCCCAGCACAAAAATAGCAAGCAATTAATATTTGATTTGCTTAAACAGTCATCATCCTTGAAGTGTAAAGGAAAATACGTGAAAGAAAAAGCAAATAAAACAGTAATTAATTTATTTTATTAAGCTCTTTTTCATTTACTGCCTTAGAATTGTTGAGACGAAAATTTTATTATTGAACACATCCGTTTCTTTTACGAGTAACTTCATTGTCTTTGGGATTGTTTATTACATTTTAACCGACATTTTCTTTCTCTTAACAAATTAACTTCCTGGAATTAATAATGTAACTTCGAACGAGACTCGGAATACTGTCCATTACCATGAACACATGCAATGTCATGAAGTAACTACGATGCTACGTTAGTTGCAGAAGCCGGTGAAGCCAGTCGAAATTCTTATCGTCAACATTACACATACAGTAGGGCTCTAGGAAATAGTCAATATCTGCCTCCAGGGCTCGTTAATTTTTTTTTTGGTGGGGGGGTTAATACAGAAACATGTTAACATTATATCACTGCACACCTAGTCACACTTTCAATTGATGGACGTGAAACTGCGACGAATAAAATTTGTTACCTTCCGTAAAGAAGAGATATCCGTTGTGTGCACTATTTATTCTCTGTATTATGCAACACTAAATTGAGGAAAAAAAATGTCGAATTACATTGTACCCTACAGGTGGGTGTCAAAGATAAACAAAATAAAAGCATATCCTCTTATTTTCTGGCTATTTACGAAGCCGTGTGAAAACAAGACTTAGCAAACCAATTATAATTATATACTAAAGTGTTAAATGGACTCACCCAGGGTATACATATACTACTGCTAGTGAATATCCGGGGAAGAACGAGCAAAAGTCACAGTGAGTAAGCACGTAGACTCAGTAAGAAGTCATACAGTGATACGTCGATACCAAAAGACTATATATATATATATATATATATATATATATATATATATATATATATATATATATATATATATATATTGCTACTAACCCGCATTCCTGGAACTACTAACCTGCATTAACAGTTGTATTATTACATTAATACATTTATTCCCCTATATTCCTTCTTGGCGTTTATTATTCATTGGTACCGGATTTCACCCCGGAATCCACAACTTGGCGACGAGGACTTCGAACTCACACGGAAAGAAAAAAATTCTCTCTCGTCGACCACAACAACTGGGCGACGAGTACATCGGACCTACACGGAAAGAAAAAAATTCTCTCTCGTCGACCACAACAACTTGGGCGACGAAGATTTGCACTCCTCGGAGACTCAAAAAAGAAAAATTTGCTAAAAACTTGGCGACAAATATTTACGAGGATTAAAATACGTAAAATCGAGTTTTGCGTAAGAGGACTTTAAAAGTATTTTAGTAGAACTTATAAAATACCAAAATGAACAGCAAATACAACTCCAAGAAAAACAAAATAAACAGCAACTAAAATTCCAAGAAAGAATGGAAGAAAGACAAATGCAACTCCAGGAACTAATATTAAAGGTAGCGGGTAACAAACAACAAAATATCGAAAAAGAGGTGACTTTTCACAAGACGCAGTTTGGAACACGATAGAAACATTCAAATACTCTCTAGAAGAGGATAAAAATTTCGGGGACTATTTCAGACGTCATGGAGACATTTTCAACATCGATTACCAAAACTGGACGGAAGCTAAGAAGCTACGTCAATTACTCAGAAAAATGGGAACAGAGGAATACACAATTTGTGGATTATATTTTGCCAAAAAGGACAAACGATTTAACGTTTGACGAAGTAGTTACATGCCTTACGAAGCTCTTCAGTCCAAAGACATCACTTTTTCACAAAAGGTGGAAATGTATTAATCTCCTAAAAAGTGAAAGTGAGGACTACTCCACTTTCGTTGAAATCGTGAATAAAAATTGCGACGGCTTTAAGTTGGTTTAATTAATTCCGGACAATTTCAAGTGTCTAATTTTTGTACAGGGGTTACGCTCAGCCAAGGATAGTGAAATGCGTAAAAGAATGCTTTCAAAACTTCAAAATGAGCCTGGATTAACACTACAAAAATTGTCAGAAGACTGTCAAAAATGTTTGAGTATAAAGAAAGACTCAAAGGATATCGAGGAATCAGGAGTAGCACACATCAGGAAGTTGAACAAAAGTTTACGATTTTCACCCTCCCCGGAAAGAAAACAAAAATTCTATAATAATGAAAAAAGTACAACGTTCAGAGCAACTAATGACAGAAATCAAGGAAAATATAAGCACCCCCATCTGCATTTTATCGATGTGGAAGATTACACTGGAATAAGGATTGTCGTTTTCAATATAAATACTGTCTAGCGTGTGGAAAAATGGGTCACAAGGCATACCAATGTCGGAACAAAAAACCTACTGGTAGGATAAAAGCTACTAGAATCCATGACGAAGACAATATTAACATAAGAAAATACGTGGAACTTGAAATTTTAAATAAGATAAAATTACAACTAGACTCAGGGTCAGATCTGACGATAATTAACCTACAAACAGGGAGAAAGTTAAATAGACCGACCGTGATGCATACACAGAAAATTGCTAAGTCTGTTACAGGGAAGTGTATAAAATTCAAAGAAGTAATCCTAAATGTAAAATTCCACGGGGAAAATTTGTCGCTCCACGAAAGAAATAGTGATTAAATCACTTTTGTCCCTGGGGATAAAACCCCAAAGAGTAATTAAGGGTACCGGGTTCTTCATGTGGAACATTCTGCTGCCCACACCAGAAGATTGCCTGTCAATGGCAAAGAAAGAATTGATAACAAAGGACCTAATTCTTAGAACGGAATACGAGGGTCGGAGAAGGACCAGGGTGGCCGTTTTTGATGTTCCTCCTCAAATTTCGGGAGATCACCTGGCTGCATTCTTTATGCAGTTTGGCCAGATTTTAGGGGCTCTCTCCGACAATTTCAACGGGGGATGGACTTTTGATATTATGCTCGATCAAGTCCGTCCCCAACTGTTTGGAATTAGGCGACCGGAAAATGCCGGTCATTGTGACCGGTAGGAAACCAACTTGCTGGAGGTGTGGAGAGACTGGTCACCTTTCCTCCTCCTGCCCAGGGAAGTAGGCCCCTTGAGTTCCGGTCGCAGGCGACCAAAATCCCCCTTTGGCCGAGAAGGTAAAATCCGCGGCGCCTGTAGTGGGCCTAGCTGCGAGGCGGACCGGTGCGGAAAATCCCTCGGTTGGGTCCGTATCCACATAACCCCCTAAACCGACGCCTTCCACAAGTGTGGATAAGGAGAAGGATGAGGGGAATGGCGCCTCGTAGTTAGGGGCAAGGGGAACACCCAAACAGCGGTTCCTCAGTCCCATCATGACCCCAGGGTCAATAACACCTACAGCCCCATTCCCTCTACCAGCTCTGAGGGCGACGCCTCGGCGTCTTATAAAAAAACGCCAGTGAAACTCAGAAATTGAATGAACCAAGCTGGAAAAAAATATTAGACATTAAAAAACTAAAGGAAAAGCTGGAGACAAAGCGGGGTAAAAACCAAAAATCGCTGGGGGCACCGGGCCCCCTATCCTCTGCCCCGTCTTCCCCTTCTTCATCTAAAAAGACATTCGCAAAACCACCTCCGCCCAAATCTGTGTCAAACTCTCCCGTGAAATCTCTTCATTCATCTAAACCTTCGCCGGTGAGGACGCCTTCGTGTTGGACTCCCTCAACAACTCCCAATGTCACACCCATGTCAACACCCATGCAATCTCCACAAAAGAAAAGGGTCAGAAGACCTGACTCACAAATAGTTACCGATAAAAAGAAAAAAAAATCAAACCACCTTATCTCCCCGGGGAAGACGTCTGCCGCGTATCCTGGGACCAGGCTGAAAGGGTCTTCGGGCAGACGCGGAACCCGAAAGACTTAAAAGTTCTTTGGAATTTTAAATTGATAAACGGCGTAGACGTAGAAAAGCCCGAAAAATTTCCCTTCTGCTAGAAGAATTTTGACTGTCATAAGAACTGGCCCGGGTAAGCGGGAGATTTGGGGCATGATAGAGGAGGCCCAGTCGTCTCTAAAAATGGTGCCCCCAGCTGCCTACCTACTCGACCCGGAAATTGAAGAATCCAACAAAAACTTAAAGGGAGGG